CAGTGTTCCGTGCGCCTTCGNAGGTGGGTAAAATGAGGACCCAGATTGTGTTGGTGATATGCCGACTCTGTAAACCGCTTAGAGAGGGCTGAAAGCCCTATGAAGCGGTATATAAGTCTAACTGCTATTGCTATTGCTATTATTGTGATCCATATTTTCCCAGTGAAAAACTGCATTTCAAATTTTAAAAGGACCAATTCATATCGCCATTGCATTTCAGTTCATTGGTTGGTTCTGAAGAGATAAATTAGGGAAATTCACAGTTAAAGTGACAATTGAACAAATATTTGTACAGAATGGATTGATAATATTGTATTTGTTACATTTATCATCCATTCATTTTTCCTCCAAGGAAGAAAAACACCCCATTCTCCCTCACAATAGCCCATTGAGATGTTAGGAGAAAGTGACTTTTCCTACTTTAAGTTACCCACAAACAATTACCACTAACGTTGATAATTAAGTAATAAATCAGTGTTTGCCTTTTCTTGTGAATATGTTACCTACATCCTTGGACTGAAAAGCTATATCTTACAAGTGCAAATTTCTTTCTTTGATGAATTAGCCAAGTTTGCATCACAATGAAAATTGAAGCCACATTCGTTCCGGGCTTATCTCTGGCCATTTCCCCAAATTTGATTCGGTTTGGTGCCTCCGACAGAGTGAAGAGTAATATTGACAAATTGGATATTTACTTTTTTCCCCTTCTTCTTGTATCACACCCCCTCCCCCCAACACACACAGCCCAGCAATGAAACAGCCAGAATTCCAAGGTAGGAACTGGTTTGCTGTTTTTGGTTACTTCAAAGAGACTTCCTTGGTTCATTATAGAGACCCTGGTAGGGGGCAAAATTGATCTGAAGAAGGCGTAGGGTGGACAGAATGAGGAACGCCACATCAGCAGTTGATTTAAATCAATCTCTCTCCCCCCCTCCCGCCCCTTTCGCTCTGGATTTTGCATGGATCCTAGAACAAAGCCGATCTGCCTTCTAAGGGAACGTGGTAAGAGGGCAAATTATTCACTCCTTCTATGCCATCTGAGCTCAGCGGGGGAGATGGGAACAGCAGGCGGACTCTTAGTTAAACACTCCAAGTGGGAAAAACAACTTTCAGGTGTGGTTTACGATGTCTCCAGAATTGTTCCCACAAGCCAACATGACAGGGGGAGTCTCTCAGGAACTGTGAATTGCAAACATCCAGAGAGACGTAACATCCAGTTGGATTCATCCACACATTCTTTCGATGTACGTATAGTTTTCTAAATAAGTTGATTGGTTGGTTGATTGGTTAATCGGCTCTATGTTTTATCCCAAGAAGTCTTGAGAAATGAATAAGGTAAAGGTTCCCCTCGCACATCTGTGCTAGCTGTTCCTGACTCTAGGGGGNGGAAGGAAGGAAGGAAGGAAGGAAGGAAGGAATCAATTTCAGGTGTGAACTGCTCTACAGTTGCAACAACACCCTCCTTCCGCCTTCACAGACCTGCTTCCAATCACAACTCCAGCCCTCCACTTTCCCCTCCAAGGGACGCAACGCAAACAGAGGGGGACAAGAGGAGGCTGGAGAGCGAGGGGTGTCTTTGGAGCAACTGTGGGGTGCAGGTTCAGCCCAGGCATTTCTCCTTCCCCGGAGCATCCCACTCCCTCCTCCAGCCCGGCTGCCTCTTGGCCTCCCCCTGCCAACCAGGGCCAGGGGCAGCCGGGGTGGAGGGCCTGGGCCACGCTCTGCTCTGATTGCTCCCATCCTTCTGCCTCTGCGGACAAGTGGGGCTTCTAGCAGAGCGAGACAGCGGTTTAATTTACCTGACTTGTTAACAGCTCCCGGCTTTTGTTTTGCTTTAGTCCCCCCCCCCCTACGCCTGCTCAGACTTTGCTCCCCCCCCTACTCAAAGTTCTGAGTTGTCAACATTTTCACATCTCCAGGTTAAGTGGCGCGTTCCAGCCAGGCTGCTAAAATTCCTCCATAATCCGATCATTTGTTCCCGGGTCTTGGAAGTTTGCAAGGCAACAATGGGTGCACCGCGGTCTGGGCAACAGAGTCGGGTGGGAGGGAGGGCTGGGCAGGATTTTGACAGCTGTCCATCACGGAGCTGAAGTGTTTCCCGCCTAAGAGGATTCTGACCCTGGCTGTATGGCTGCCAGAAACCTGGTGGACTAGAATACTGCTGTGGCCCAGACCTTTAGGGTTTAAAAATGCAAGGTTAAAAATAGTGGCATCAGATAGGCTGCTCCGGTTTGCAAGCCCTTGAGTAGTTACTATATGTACAGAAATAAATCTGTCCGCAAAACTTCTTACATCTGCTACTATCTGGAATCGCCAGCTTCTGATTTTCTCTGTATCTCCCACTAGTATAGTAGAAAATTGCCATAATAGTCTGCCTTCTTCTCCTCTTCCTCTTCCATTCCTCCTGGGGAGGGTCTTTCCTTGGTTGGAGAGCACCAAGGACCCCATAATTATTCTTCTCCTTCTCCTTCTCCTTCTCCTTCTCCTNCCCAATCCCGGAGGACTCTGGGCGGCATTGAGGATAATCAGCTCAGTTTTTCTGGTTAAGACTGGAGAAACGGCTTAGTCAGGTATTGTGGCCTGGTGTTTACAATTCTGGATGATATTTAACCACTATTCTTCTTCTCCAAACAGCAAACTTTAAGTTAAAGTTAGCTGTTTGATCTAATTTAGCAAACCTTGGGCTCCCTGAGCCACAGACCCCAGCAAAATCAACTCCAGTTTCCTTTAAGGAAAAAAAATGGATGGGAAATGTAGTCATAGGGCAACTCTGACATTCTCTCTTACCCGAGGAAAAATAAAAGGAAGAAAAAATGCCCTTCCTTTAGACGGTAGGAACCCAGAGAAAGAGCCCGGATTGGGTTTCTAATCTGCCATGATTGCTGAAAACAGGCATTGTCTGATTTTGTAATTTAAGGGGCTTGGCTCCCTCTTTCTTCGGCAGTTGCTCTTTTGGCCCCTTCATTAAACCTCCTTGCGTTTCGCCAACATTTGTCTTGTAGCCTTCGATGGCTGCCACGTGAATATTAAGCAACCTTATTCAGCTTGGGCAAGAACGGCCAAAGAAACAGATGGGGCCAGTCCTAAGCTTTCCGACGTGGGTACAAGGCTCACCAGCTGTTTCCCATCCTTTATGCTAGGGGAGGGGGTTGGGGGTGGGGCAGGGGCTTGGCATCTGCAAAAGGTGGGTGCCACCCCCTCCCCCAGCTTTTTGTTTGTCAATACAGCTGAAAGTCCCAGCCTACGAACGAACGGGAAGCCCACCTCGGTGGTGGTGGGAAAAAAGAATCAGAAGGTAAACAACGGAGGCTGGTTCCCACCAGCCACTGGACTCCGGCGGCTTTTTAATCTTTTACTTCTAGAACAAATTGATTTCTTGCCACTGAGCTCCTCTCCTACTGATGTTGTCGGCTGGCCTTGTTGAAGGCGGCCAGGTGCAGGGGGCTGGGACCCTTCTGCCCCACCCTCTTTCAGTAGGAGTTCCCAAGCCCATAAAGCTAATGGGGAGGAGGGGGAGGAGGAGGAAGAGGAGGGCAAGAAGGAGGAGGAAGGGGAGGAGGAAGGGGAGGAGGAGGAAGAGGAGGGCNATCATCATCATCATCATCATCATCATCATCATCATCATCACACCACCACCACCACCACCACAACAACAACAACAATAACCACAACAACAACAACAACAACATAATGTTGAGTCAAATGTCATGTAATATAATTGGGACCTTGGAATGATATTATTACATATGTGCTCTTAGGAACATCTCTAAGCACAATGTTTGTTCGTGTTAAAGGTATTGTTGATCTATACTATGGCTCATTAAATTAGAATTCTACAGATATGCAAAGCCACAACCCTCACAATTCTCATCCAGAAGTCTTTGAGTGATATCCCATCTGGAAGGTACAAGGTTAAGAACAAAACAAATCAAATTATTGATTACTGTTAATTTTAATTTGAATTCTTTTTAAAAAAATGTGTCATTGTCAATTTTAATTGGGTTTGGGATATCCTGTTTAATTTCTTCTTGACTTTTGTATTATATGTTTCTTTTAATATTGTATGCCGATCTGAGTCCTTGGGAGAAGGGCGGCATATAAATCGAATAAACCTAAACCTAAGAAAGGCAAGTAGTTCTTCAAAATTGACTTCTTTCAAGCAGAAGTCTTCCTCAAGAAGCCAAAACTGAGACTATCCACACATAAGGACATGTGCTATACAACATAATTTGTGCTGTGTTTGATATTCTGTTCATAACCACTGGGTGCCATGGTGGCACAGTGGTTAGAATGCAATATTGTAGGCTAACTCACTGCTCACTGCCAGGAGTTTGATCCTCCCAAGCTGAGGCCTCTATCCTTCTGAGGTCGATAAAATGAAAACCCAGATTATTGGGGACAATATGATGACTCTGTCAACCATTTAGAGAGGGCTATAAAAACTGTGAAGCAGTATATAAGTCTAAGTGCTATTGGTATTGCTATCTTGGATCTCTCCAGTTACCCCGTTAGATTTGTAGCTGAGGATCCATTATATTGAGCAAACGAATTATCCTGCAGAGATAATGTATATAACTGAATGTCGACACTTTGTATTTTACACATCTGTATTTTATTACTGTATTTTTCTTGCATCTATTTTATCCTGGAATTATCCCACATTTTATTTTTGTTTTATATTTGATTTCATCATAATAGCAATAGCACTTAGATTTATATACTGCTTCACAGTGCTTTACAGTCCTCTCAAGTGGTTTACAGAGTCAGCCTATTGTCCCCAACAATCTGAATCTGCATTTTACTGACCTCAGAAAGAGGGAAGGCTGAGTCAACCTTGAGCCTGGTGAGGATCAGAGCATTCTAAACACTGCACCACCACTAATCAATCAATAAACTATCTATCCAGTTACTTAGCTAACAACAAGCAAAATTGAAGAGCAATTTCCATTCATATTTAAACACTATTATATAAACATCTGCAAATGTGCATGTAGACTCACCAATGTCAGAGCTAAGAGAGGCAGCAGATGTACAGTCCAACTGGTTTCCATCACTAAATGTAGTTTTACAATTCAGCAAAAAACTGTAGGTGAAAAAAACGAGACAAAATATAAACATCTTAAAGTGTTATGGCTATGATCCTAAACACATTCACCGGCGAAATATCCCACTGAACGTCATCTGGCTTAGCCCTCAGTAGCAGGGGTGGGTTCCTGTACCGGTTGGTGCTGGTTCGCTTCATGCCCGCCTGCCGCATGATGCTCGCGCATGCGCAGTTGACTGTAAATTGTTCTGCGCATGTGCAGAATCATGACGACAATGGCACAAGAGACCAGGGAACCGATTCAATATTAGAAGGAGTATGACAAGGTGACATATGACATGGGGCGTGGCCAGCCTGGGTTGCTGTCTGTTCTGCGACCCAGGCCAAATCACCACTCTCGGTTCAGCTGAACCGGGACGAACCGGGAGCAACCCACCTCTGCTCAGTAGTCATCTATAAGATTACCATATGATTCAGCTTTCAGTGGGAGGGCTGAAGTTTGCACTTAACTTTCCCACTTCAGCCAGTGAAACTTAAAAGTATCTGATGTTGGCTGAGTTGTATCCTTGAGTGTTTATTAAACAGAATTAAAATAACAGTAGCAAACTGCAGAAGACACGTCATTTTTTCTTAACCTTCAGGGAAAACAAATGAACTGAAAAAGACTGGCCAATTTGTCTGTGTTGTTTCCTTTTGTTTGGGAAGCTTGGGAAAAAATGGAAATAAGAAAGATGGGTCAATAAAGGGGAGGTCTCAATGCTCCTGTAATATGGCCTCTAAAATAATAATGTCAGAATATTCCAATATGGCAACTCAGCTCTAGTTTTGATCATTGTTTCTCACACTCCCACCAATGTTGGCTATGGGAATTTGCAAGAGCTTGTATCCACATTAAACTTACTTCAATTACTGTAACCAGTAAAAAAGATGAAGGCACACATAGAAAGGGTAGCGGGGGGGGGGGAGTCAGACGAGAACAATTTTTGGAACTGCTGCATAATGTATCCACTGGGAGAGTTTCTTTTTTTAAATTCATAATAAACAATATGAAATAAGAAAGCAGTTCAGGGAAATTCTATCAATAGATATCTGGTTCCCTTCACAATTCTCTTAAAGCCTGGGAAACAAGAATAATCCAAACCCAAGACAACATATTGATTCATATTTTGTTAGCTAGTATTTTGTTCTACTTCCAACTATCTACCGTAGAAGCAACTATTATAAGGACAGCTCTTTTATAGATGAAGAAATTTGCACTTAGGAATTGTTCTTCAGAGAAATAAATACCGTTCACATTCATTAACCCTATAGTTCAAAAACAATTAACACAATAATTAAATATAATTAACAATGAACAAAGGAAAAACAGTGACTGTTTCTATCAATTAAGTGATTGTGACAATAGTCTCCAATTAATTGGATAAATTGTTATTCTTCACCACAAAAAATGATGATGTCCCCATTCATTCTTCTACTTTTTATTGCCTACAGTATTTCTTCTCATTCAAGTCTCCCATGCTTGTTTTTACAGTCAATATAATCCTTTCCTATTTATTCTTCCCCAGTATTCTACAATACTACTATTTCCCATATTCAACCACTCATAACGAATATCATCTCCAGCAATGTTGATTTCCCCTATTCATTTGAACAGAATTCTCTCCTCTGCTACCTGTGGCTTTGATGTTTTCTGTTTAACAGCAGACTTGAAATGGCTTGATCTGACTCAGCACATTATACATCTTTTATGGTTAAAATTTTAAATGAATATAAAATTGCATGAATTGCCTTGTTTATCTTAGGTACTGGAAAAACTAATTTATTTATTTATTTTATTAAACAGATTTACATAGATGTCTGTGTACGAAAGGAACTTGGGGTGGCAAAAATAAAAGATAAAAATACAAACAAATTATAACAACAACAGTGATGATAGAGCTGTTCTCATGTGTTCCATTTATTTGTATCCCAGAACTATTTGCCTGATCCTTGAAAGGATACCAGTCAGGATAGAATGCTTAGTAAGGTTCATCAAGGCACTTCCTTCTTTCCTTTGATCACTCAAAAAAGGAAGAAATATTACCAACAACAATATAGTGCTTGTATTAGCACAATACTCANTTCTGAAAAATGGAGTCGAGTGGTTTCTTTCTTGGTTATTAAGTAAAGGAGCGTGACACTCACTTGCCTAATAATTGTGCACAAAGTGTATAAGAAAAAAAGACAGAATTTTAAATGGAAATAAAAAGAGAATGAGAGAAGACTGGGAGTTTTTGATCAGGAAAAAAATCCATCTTTGTTAAGAGTAGTATTAATCAGATAACTGTTTATTACTTTTTAAGCAAGTTCAAATCTACTTCAGGGTGCAAATACTGTATGTTTAAAATACAGCACACTTTAATTATGGCTCACATGTATATAATCCTATGGGTGTCAACCAAAAGAAGCACAGACAATTCTTAAGATACATTCCAAGTTTTGGTCAGGAAATTTTGGTCTATGCAAATAGGATTGTAATCATGTAGAACACCACACTGCTCTGTGGAATAGATGCTATCAGTATAATTCCAAATAACGCCATCAGAAAAACCCAGAAAAGTACCTTGAAGTATTCTGTTGTTCCAAAATACGTTGTTGACCTTCCCAGTTTGCCTTTTCATCTTCAAATTGGTGCCGTTTTTCCTCTAGTTCTTTGTGTTGGGCCTCCAAATTCTTTTTCATTTGTTCATGACGTCGCTGGAGCTAAGGGAAACAACATATTTTTATGTATGTATGTACCGGTATGTACCGTATTTATTGGAGCATAAGACACACCTTTTTCCCCCTTAAAAGAGGGTGAAAATTTGGGTGCGTTTTATACACTGAATGTAGCCCTGTCCACCCACTGGCCCCCCACCCTTTGGCCTCTGCCTCCCAGCAATTTACCTTCTTGCAGCAAACGGAGAAAATGGGGCTTGCGGAGGCGGCAATAGGCTATGGCAATCCCTGCAGCCTGAAACAGCTGATGAGCGGGAGGCCCCTGCTGAAATTGAAAGTGAAACTTGCTGTTTGCTGCACGGAGGTAAATTGCTGGGAGGCAGAGGCAGATTTTTTTTTCTTGCGCTAATAAGGCTGTTTGCTGTTTGCTACAAGGAGGTAAGTCAATAACTATAAATGCCTATAGACTGTTCAAATTATTAGACTTATTTTTTAAAGACTGCTTTATTATTGTTCTAGACAACTTAACGAAAAATTAGAATATCGTGCAAAAGTTCATTTATTTCAGTAATGCAATTTAAAAGGTGAAACTAATATAGAAAGACTCATTGCATGAAAAGCAAGATAGTTCAAGCCGTGATTTGTCATAATTGTGATGATTA